AGCAAATAAATAAAGTCCGTACGCAAGTTGACAAGTTGCCACATAACATTTTCATTGGTTCATGAGTCTGCAAGTTTCGGATGATAATATTTGTTCGACATAACCAACTAAGTCCCAGGAGTGTAAGGATCCCTCGAATGCCTCTGTCTGTTCGGATTTGTAGGCAACACATTGGGAGTGTAGCCAACGTCGGTGTGGTCACGTTGCCGCTGTGTACGGCTCGTACCCTACAAGTATATGATATACACGATTACTTATAATCTTTATGATCGTTAGTTCATGAAGCCTATGTATTTAAAAAAACTACCTTTGTTACTACCTATGAGGCTCCTTGGGTACCAAGCGGGGCACCACCTAGCTGAGACATGCCGATCTCGTCCTACGGCCAATCGTCCCACTGATGGTGCTGTCTGCAGAAGTCCCGGGGGTCGTCGTCGTTGTCATCATCATCCTCGTTTGCAGGGTCCTTCCCAGCGCTATGATGTGGTGGTGTACGCACTGCGAAAGTGGCACCTTTCACCGGCTGAGAAGAGACGGCTGGTGTCCTCAAAGAGCCAGAAGACGTGCCACCCGACCACGCCGGGACTACCGGTTCCACCCAAGGAGTGTCCATGCAGCTCAACTTCTGAGCTAGCTTCCTGCAGCTCCGCTTCACCTTGTGGATAAATAGACGTTAAAGTTAGTGCATTTCCCAAACGCATATACACTAAAGAAACATTTTCGGAACAGACAAGTTTATGTTTACCTCCACAAAAGCCTCGAGAATGCCTGACCCCTGCCCTCTAGACTCGTGAAGCCAAAACGCTGCTTCATTGGACATCCTTGACAATTGTGTTGCCTGGGTACAGAAACACGGTTGGACAGTTTTAGTACACATACTTAATACCAAATGGATAACAAATTGTACCATTCGAGTATCTTACCACGTATCTTTGAAGCGGGGCTCTCTATAGTTGTGTGTCGTCCCTAGTGGCAACGTCGTACACATCTTCGATCACATCTTCCTCATCGTCCTCGTCAATCGCCTCCTCAGTGTACGGTGGCTTGATATGTGTCCTCGTAGACCTATGAAGCCACCACAGGTACTCGTCGAAGGTGTGCTGGTCGTGTGGGGGACCCGCATCAACCGGCTACCGGTCCCTGTTCTGCCACAACTGGATGTACGCGTTGTGTGTCATGCGCCAATCCTTGGTCTTGTACCTCTTCCTGCGGTCATACCTGCAACAAAACGATTGTTAGTTGTACCATACACACCTATGAATTGTAGCTTTGTTATTAATCGATAATGCACCCGTGCAAATCTTGGTTGGTGGAGTAAAACGGTGGTGGGTAGCCTGTCATTCTTCCAAACTGCCTACAAACCCTGATGGGCAAGTGAATCTCAACCACGTGGAAGAAAATAAGAGGAACGTTGCAGCGATACTCGTCTGACTCATCCCTAGTGACAGGACTCAGATAGTACTCGAGCTTCGAAGCATCCCAAGGACACCAATGCACCTGAACATTTCGTAATTGAGTTAGGTTGTGATATAGTGTACATCAAACAAGACACATGTATGATAGTAAAGAGAGCGTAACCTGGTGCTGTGTTAGGACGTTGAGACCGTCCGTGTACTCCCTGTACTTGTGTCTCGCATTTCCCCTAACTAACTCTGTTTACGTCTAGATATACATAGCTGTAGGGAGTGTATCCTGCCCGTTCCAATGCTGCATTGAACACGATAATGAATTAGTCATTAATAATTTAATCATATGTAACTGCCTCGAAGAATATAGTGAACCGAAGTACTTACCGGTAAACTAGTAGCAAGGGACCTCCCAACGGGCCATCGTTCCCAACACCAAACCTGGAGTAGGTAGGAGCAACCCCCAAGGTTCGCATACCCCGAGGTGCGACGACAGGCAACGCATAACTGTCGATACGTCCATGCTAGGACTGCGCTGCCCAGCTGTACGCCACTATGTTATCCCACGGCTGGCGTAGTATGTTAAGAAAGATCTAGCTGATGGTGTTGCCTGAGGTGTCTGGGAATAGGAAAACACCAAGGAAGTGCCACAGCCACACTCTAGCGAACCTGTCGATCTGAGCCTCATCAGCCTGTGGGTCCAAGTAATCAAAGCGCTCTGTGATCCACGACGATGAAACACCGGAACTTTTCCTGAAATTCACCAAAGAAAATGAGACCCGATAGTTGCAGGAAAGCAATGCAAGTATTAAATAGGCTTGAATTGCTCACTTATTTTTCTTGGAAACCTCATCGTCCGGTGGAAGAAAGCCAGTGAACTGAGCCACCAGCTCCCTCTAGTGATCGTTGTCAACTATACCTGTCACTGGAAGTCCCCCTAACCGAAGGCCAAAGATAGCCTTCACGTCCTGTATGGTCAAAGTCATCTCGCCGCAAGGTAGGTGGAACGTGTGGGTCTCAGGCCTCCACCTATTATAAGAATAGAACGACTGTTAGTTGCCTCAAATTTCTTATAAGAATGTTTACGTACAATGAAGGCACTCGCACCTGTCTACAGCTACAGTAAGTAGTGCTGGGTCAAGGGGCGGAAGATCGCAGTTGACAACACGGACGAGGAAGCCGGCACGCCATATGTACGGCGCGTAACACTCGTCCCACTGGTACGCCCTGGTGTGCGTGCGGGGTCTCAAAGGAGGCAAGGGCACCTCTGCGTCGGTGTCACTCAAGAAGTGTGCTCGGTGCGGCTCGTCGTACTCCACCTCAAGAAGGGGTACAACGGGTGCTGCGTGGAAGGGGTCATCCTGTTACAAATTGATAAACAAAGGGTTAGAGTATTCAAATTAACAATATTTAAATTAACATTATGTAGCATTGCAAAATTTGAACTACTTGTTATGCAATAGGAACACAATATGAAAGCACATGTATATATTCAAAGTAACATTAACAGACATATTAAACAACTTCACTAGGAAAATAATCAACTTCTATGTATGGACCTGCTGTCCACCGGTGTTTCTTATTAAATTATTATAATAGCTTGTCTGCATCTGCTAGAGCAGCTCATTATAATTTTAACCTAGGGATGAGTAGCTCAGTATAAGATGAATTGATTGAGAACTATCATGTGTGTCATACTTAGTCTTATACTCTATACTAATATGTCTAAAAATACAGGCCGTCTACTTTTTTCGCACAATGCTATGATGGACTCATAGCTTTAAGCACAAGACTAGAATGTTGTCGAGATTACTGTGAGAAATATGAGATAGCTTGGATAGTCACAATTTTACCTCCTTGGTCACTAAGTTTTACGATTTGTGTATGCTGATAGCAGTACGATATCGACAATGTTGTGCATGATTTTGGAGGTTCTAGTGCTTTCAATATATGCTTGAGTAAAATGATCATTTGGATTAATGTTTCCGGGTAAGAAAACAAGCATATAACAATTTAAATCATAAAAACTCAACCAACCAGATTTGGCATTATATATATGTATGTCTAGTGCACAAAAAACACATAAATAGATTTATATTTCACTTATCTTTTAATTAGACATTTGTTTTTGCTATAATTAATAATACACTGTAAGAAAATAAACAATTAAAGTATATAAATAATAATACAATGTAAGATAAATTAACGGCTAAAGTATATTTTAAAAGAATCTCTCAATTTAATGTCTAACGATTAATATAAAGAGGTAGTAAAGGTATGAGGGTTTTGATTATGAAGAAATAGGCACCAAATTTCACCTCAGCGAGGGTTGAATTGCAGTGAGGGCGTCCGTGGCGCCGCGGGCAGCCGCCGTGCGTGGCCGGAGGGCGCGGCGGGCAGGCGGAGGGGGTGGCGCGCCTTCGTTCGTGGCGCGGTGGGCGCGTGAGGGCTCGGCGCACCGGCGTGCGTGGCGCGGCAGGCACGGCGGCGGCGGCGATGCGTGCGCAGCGGGCAGGCATGAGGGCAGACAGGAGGGAGGGCGACTCGCGGACGATATTTACCTGATCCTGTCGCGCCGTGGGCCTTGGTGCGTCACTGCCGCGCCAAGACCCTGTGACGTCACCGGTCAGCGCCCCGGTCGTCGCCATGTCACCCCTCTCGCCGCGCCACCATGCATGGCGATGCACAGGCGTTTCGCCGCACCATGGCAATAGGCACCGCCAAAAGTGTTAGTTTTGAAAAATAAAAATAAACAGGGTTAGATTTAAAATTAGTTTATAAAAAATGTTAAAAATATAAAAAAAATCTCTCGAACCACGTAAAAACAAATCCGATGGTGCCATTGATCATTGGAGCCGATGTCAACAGTCAAGACAAAGTTCTCTGGCACTGCAAGGCTACAAGCATCGAGGCCCAGATAATACCTAAACAAAAAAACGATTTCTTTTGTCTGCACTCTGCAGCATGTTCTATCTTTGGCCAACACAGTCGGGGACTCAGTCTTGGTTGATGTGCTTTCTTCATTGTATTTAGTCTGCACAGTAGGTCAACATAGCTAATTAGCAATCAATGTCAAAACTAAGCATTAATTGCAGCAATGACGACGTGTTGTTGTGGAAATCCTGATATCGATTGCGATGCCTGGACGCTACGGCTTATTTGTCATGTGCATCCCATGTGCTGGTGTTGTACTAATCAGATCTAACGAGATTACTTAGCTGATAATGATATAACTAAACAGTGCTTATCAGATGCAACGAACGAGACAGTGTCAAGGTACCCGAAAGAAGAAAGAAGGAACATGGCCGGTGAAATAAAAAAGAAGATGGAATTGCGGTTGGAACGGTGACACACAACTAATGGCGCTCGTGGTCGACGTCAACGCCCTGCCAGGAACAATGACGGTGTTTAGCAGGCCAAAACACTCCTTCCTACCTGCTAGAACACTAATGTGAAGACATACTAGTAGCCTACTATATACAAGAAAGAAGAGTACAAGGACACCGCAAAGCAAATTAAGCAATGCAAACCGAACACAGTTGCAAAACTATGAAGGTCTGGGTGGGACGACGGCTCCCTCCTGCGGCGAAAGCAATGGTCGTCGCCGCCGCTGCGGTCGTCTTCCCCCTCCTCTCCGGCATGGCGGCTCTACCAACAGCCATGGCAGCTGTCGTCGAGCACACCTTCGTTGTAAGCACAACGCATGAGATCTATTCTGTGTCTTTCGCCTATCTCCCTGGCCTGTACTGTATTGTCATGGGTGATTTGTTATTAGAACATTCAAATATGTATGTATGCAGGTGAGCCAGATGAATGTGACGCGCTTGTGCAAGGAGACGCTGGTGACCGTGGTGAACGGGCAGCTCCCGGGCCCGGCGATCGAGGTCACCGAGGGAGACTCGGTGGTCGTCCATGTCGTCAACGAGTCACCCTACAACATGACGATCCGTACTGGTAATGGATTAATAAGCACCTATAGTAGTCTACTCTGTCTTTGGTCTTTCCTTTTTCTTCCAATTGTGGAAACAGAGCTGGATTATTCCTACCAATCACGCTATCAAAGAACAAAATCAATTTCCCGCCTGTACGTGTTTCTTCCAATTGTAGAAACACAGATGGATTATTCAACTCCAATTTGGGTTCAACCGTAGGTCCCATTTTGTTTCTGAATTTCGTTGCTGTTGCATTGAAGGCATGGAGTGAAGCAGCGGCTCAACTGCTGGGCGGACGGGGTGCCCATGATCACCCAGTGCCCCATCTTGCCAGGCCGCTACTTCACCTACCGGTTCAACGTCGCCGGACACGAAGGCACCTTGTGGTGGCATGCTCATGTCCCCTGCCTGCGCGCAACCCTGCACGGGGCTCTCATCATCCGCCCACGACATGGCGCCGCCTCGTATCCCTTCCCTAAGCCTGACAAGGAGATCCTCATTGTCATAGGTACATGAACTATGCAGCATTTGGTGCATTGTTTCTCTGAAGTTTTCTGAACTACTATGGGTCATATATGTTGTTTTTTGTGAATTGTAAATTTGTAATGCATGGTCTGAAACTCTCAATGCAATGACACCACATCAGGGGAATGGTGGGATATGGTGTTAGAACTGTAGGATCATAGATTCGGTATAACATGTAAAACGGTAGATCCTAGGACATGTAGAACGGTCTACAGAGAGACAGGGAGAGAAAGGGAAGGGTACCGAACCTGAGACCGCAGGGGTGGAGGATCCAGTAGCCTCCATCAGGTTCGTCGATGTAGGCTGCGCACGGGCAGCGACGGTCGGTGAAGAGAGGCGACGCAGTGGAGACGGTGATGCAGTGCAGTGGCGACGGGATGACGGTGATGACGGTGGCGGCTTCCCGTCGCTGGCTGCGCGCCCTCTTCGAGATCGGAATTAGGGTTTGTCGGTGGGAGTACGGCTCACGGTGAACCTCGTACCTCGAGCCGCCGGCCCCCACCTCTTTATATAGCGCAGTGCGACGGGGGCCCACCAACCATGTAGGGTTGGGCGCCCCCGATCAGGGCGCGTGACCAAGGCCCAATAGGCCGTTGGGCTTATTGGTTGGGAGATCACTCTAACATTCTCCCCCTTGATCTCACTATTACTTTTATCTTTAAACTTTAAACTTCAATCCTTTTATCCTTACTCATTTCTTCACAGATGATGCATAGAGCATGTTTCATCGTCACGGTCAATCGCCGATAGATTTAACAGCTACAATGCACGTCTCTGATCTGAAATAGTTACTTTAACTTTTGGGCCCTTTATAGTCCAGGGATCATAGGCTTTCCCTTAAACCCATGCCGGTTACATGTTCTCTGAACACGTTGGGTGGTAAGCCTTTTGTAAGCCGATCCGCGAGCATCTTTTCGGTACTTATATGCTCAAGACTTATCATTTGATCCCGAACTTTATCCTTCACAACATAATACTTTATGTCAATGTGTTTGGCAGCACCACTTGACCTATTGTTGTGAGCATACTGTCTCTTTGGATTATTATCGCGATATAACTTCATGGTCTATTGATGTCGCCGACCACCTTCAAACCGGTATGAACTTCTTTAGCCGCCCACCTGCCCGTTGCCTCATAACACGCTACAAACTCGGCATACATTGTGGACGATGTAGTGACGGTTTGCTTTGAGCTTTTCCATGAAATAGCTCCCCTGCGAGAGTGAACACATATCCGGACGTGGATTTTCTATTATCTCCCGCATAATCGTAATCAATATCCCACTATATGGAGTGAATCGGATCTTTTATACGTCATCATGAGGCCTTTCGCTCCTTGCAAATAACGCAAGACTTTCTTTACCAATTTCTAGTGTTCTATTCCGGATTGCTCGAATCGCCAAGTAACCCAAAGAATAAATGCCAAGTCGTATGCCGTACACACTTGAGCATATTGCAAGCTTCCGACAAATTGAAACATATGGAACCACTTTCATTTGATCGATCTCATATTGGTTCCTCGGGCATTGAAAATCCCCATATCTCATGTTCCCTTGACTATAGGAGCAGTGATGGACTACATTTGTGCATACTGAATTTCTTTAAGACTTTTTCTATGTATGTCTTTTGTGACAGTCCTAATACCCCTTTACTTCTATCTCGGTGAATCTCGATCCCTAGAACGAACGAAGTTTCACCAAGATCTTTCATATCAAATTTTGAGGACAAAAACTTCTTTGTTTCCAGTAGTAGACTGACATCACTACTTGCAAGTAAGATATCATCCACATACAGGACAAGGAAGATAAACTTCCCATTCTTAAACTTTGCGTAGACACAATTGTCCTCAACATTATCTTTAAACCCAAAATTCTTTATTGTCTGATCAAACTTCAAGTACCACTGTCTTGAAGATTGTTTTAATCCATAAATGGATTTCTTTAGGCGGCATCCCAAACGTTCTTTTCCTTCCATGATAAAACCTTTCGGTTGTGCCATGTAAAGATTTTCTTCTAAGTCTCCGTTGAGAAATGCCGTCTTTACATCCATCTGATGTAATTCTAAATCGTAATGTGGCACTAATGCCATTATGATTCTGAAGGAATCCTTACATGAGACTGGAGAAAATGTCTCATTGTAATCAATCCCTTCTCTTTGTGTAAAGCCTTTTGCCACAAGTCGGGCTTTATATCTCTCTATATTCCCTTGAGAGTCAAGTTTTGTTTTGTAAACCCATTTACAGCCTACTGTTTTGGCTCCTTTAGGAATTATCTCTAAATCCCAAACTTTATTTGCATTCATTGATCTCATTTCATCTTCCATGGCCTCAAGCCACTTTGATGAATGATCACTTTTCATGGCTTCTTCAAATGAGGTGGGATCATCCTCCATTTGAAATTCTTCAGTGTTGTACACTTCATAATCAGCAGGAATAGCAGATTTTCTAACTCTTTGAGACCTTCTAGGGGCCTCCTCAGTCGACACATTTTCTATTTGAGGCTGTTGTTGCTCCCCCTCATGTGTGGCAATAGTTTCTATAGGATCCTGAGGAACAGGTTCCTCATCATCATTCATTGTTGCCACAGACGGGATAACAACAGGTGCTGGCACCACAGTGTCTTGTACTGTCGGTGCAAGAATGCAGTGATAGTGAGAAAATGGCTCATGAATGATCGGAGGGGGTGCATACACCCGCTTCTCTTCAAGGTCAATTTCTCGAGCTACCATGCTCCCCTAATCATTTCATCCTCTAGGAAGACAAAGTGTCTCGCTTCCACAAATTTTGTATGTCTCATTAGGGACAAGAGAAACGAAAACCTTTTGACTTTTCCGGGTAGCCAATGAAATGGCAACTCACCTGCTTTGGGATCTAGCTTCCCAATGTTTGGGTTAAAACTTTAGCCTCAAAGTAGGCTCCCCACACACGCAAGTGGTTAAGTGAGGGTACTCTTCCGTCCACAACTCATACGGTGTTTTTGGGCACCGACTTACTTGGTACTCTATTGGGAATATGAATGGCGGTTTTTAACGCCTCCATCCACAGACTCATCGGTAAAGTGGAGTAACTTATCATACTATGCACCATATCCATCAGGGTACGGTTACGCCTTTTAGATACTCCATTCTGCTGAGGTTCGCCCGGTGTTGAATACTGGGCGACTATACCATTCTCCTGTAAGAACCTTGCAAAAGGTCCAGGAACTTGTCCATATGGGGTATGCCGACCGTAGTACTCTCCTCCACGGTCAGACCTGACTATCTTAATCTTTAAATCATGCTGATTTTCAACTTCTACTTTAAATATTTTGAATTTATCCAACGCTTCGTTTTTTTTTAATTGGATAAATATAGCCAAAGCGAGAGTAATCGTCTGTGAATGTTATGAATGAATCATAACCATCCACACTTTTCACGGTGAAAAGGACCACATATGTCCGTGTGAATAATCAGAGAATTTCTGCGCGCTTCGCTTGGCATCTTTCTTAATTTTCTTTACATACTTTCCTTTTATGCAATCTCTACATTGTTCTAAATCGAGAGCTCTAATGGAGGAAGAATATCATTCTTAACTAGTCTTTCTATTCTCCCCTCGAAATATGGCCTAAACGACAAGGCTGCCATAATTTCGACAACGCATCGTGAGCTCTCTTTCGTTTTCTGTTTGCATTGTTCGATGAGGATACATTCTCATTCACATCACATACGGAATTTACATTTTCACGAAGTGATAACAAATAAAGCTCGTCTTGTCGGAAGGCAAGACCAATACATCTATTATTAAACAATATCTGACATTTGCCATTTCCAAAATGGCAATCATAACCATCATGGTCCAACTTTGATACACTAATCAAGTTTCTTTGCAAAGAAGGTACATAAAGAACGTCTCTAAGAAAAAGTATGAAGCCATGTAGGGTTGGGCGCCCCCGATCAGGGCGTGTGACCAAGGCCCAATAGGCCGTTGGGCTTATTGGTAGGGAGATCACTCTAACATATGGATCTTGCACAGTTGGACAGGAACACGGTGAACGGTGCCCTTGTCGACCTCCCAACTGGAAGCACAATCAACGGCAAGCTTGGCGACCTCTACAACTGCTCTGCCTCTGCCAATGAAGGTGCCGTGCAACAGGAAGATGGCTACGTCATCGAAGTGGAGTCCGCAAGACGTATTCTGCTCCCGGTGATGAACGCCGCACTCTTCTCCAAGTACTACCTCAAGATCGCCGCCACACGATGACGGTGGTCGCCTCGACGCCAACTTCGTCAAGCCCTACGCCACGGACGTCGCCGCCATCACGCCCGGCGAGAAGATGGACGTCCCGGTGGCCGCCGATCGCGCCGCCGGGCAGGTACTACATCGCCGCCTCGCCATACAGCGCCCGAGCCCGACGCCCAGTGCCACTCTCCATCACGCTGCGGGATAGTGCGGTCGATGCAGCAACAACACCAGATAGTAACGCTCGCCGTCGATGATGGGTTCAGCTCCGGTGATGATGCCCGACATGCTCGACCAAAGACGACACCACCAAAGCAGCTACTACTTCCACGGCAACCTCTCCAGCCTTTCGCCGTCACGTGGTGTCTTTGGCGCGGCCGACGAGCACATGCTCATCTCGCTTAGCTCGGGCTCCGTGTGGTGCGCGACGGTGGGCGGGGCGTCGTCGCGAGGAGCGACAATGACGAGTCCATCATCGTGGGCACCATGAACGACGTCTCGCTCCGAAAGCGCCCACGGCCGCGCGCGCAGTCACCGCTGGAGGCGCACTACTACCGCCGCGACGACATGGCGGGCGCGCGCACGGCGTGGAGCTCGGCACGCTCCCGGACGCGCGCCAAGGCGGTGTTCAACTTCACCGACCCGGCCTACATCCCGTGACGGGCGAAAGAGGCGCCACTGGAGCCGACGGAGAAATAGACGATGGTCGCGGCGGTTTCGCACGCAGCGCGGTGGTGGAGGTCGTGTTCCGGAGACACGGCGGTGATGCGAGCGACTCAACCCGATGCACTGCACGGCCACGACATGTTCGTGCTCACGCGCATGACTTGGGCAACTACGACGCTGGCGAGGGACGTGCAGCTACAACCTGGTGGATCCGCCATTCAAGAACACCGTCGTCGTCCCAAGGCTCGGCTGGGTCGCCGTTCGATTTGTCGCCGATAATCCAGGTGCATGCCTACACAATTTATTTATTTACATGTTCGGCATATATGCAAACTTGCAATGTCGACCGATGCCTGTTTTATTTACAATCTCCTGCGCTGCAAGTGCCTAAAAAATACCAAAGTTTTGCTCCAAGATTTGGATTGGTGTTCTTTTATTGACACTGCTCCCTCCGTCGCAAAATAAGTGATGATTTACGTTTGTCCTAACTCCTAAGTCTAACCGTTTTAATTTTGACTAAATTTATACAAAAAAGTATTGATTTTTATGATACAAAATTTTGTTTCTTGTGTACAGGAACATGGTACATCCATTGCCACTTTGATTTCCATCTGTCCATGGGCATGGTAGCCGTTTTCATTGTAGAGGATGGATCAACAGTGGACACTGTCGATGTGGGATCCACAGGATACCCCGCAAGGAAGAGAGAAGATCTAGTCTAACTAGGATTCTCCCCATGTAATCTTAGTAGTATTATTATTTTGTAATTCTACTAGGAACTCTCATTGTAAACCGACTAGGAATCTGACCTCCTGACTATATAAAGGAGGGCAGGGTTCCTAGAGAAGGGGGATCAGGATTTCTACAACACAATCAATCCAACGCAAAGGCTAACGCCGATCGGATCGTAGATGCATTACTCGACCACGATCCGAGGGCATGAACCAGATAAATCAATCGCCTCTTTGCGTTCACCGTCGAGTTCCGCATACGTTGAAGCTCGAACAATACTGCCCCGGGGACCCCCGTGGCAGGCTATCGGTGGTGAAACATCGACAGCTAGCGCGCCAGGTAGGGGCTTTCGGCGAATTTGCATCCGAGAGCTCGATGGACCTCAACAACATGATCTTCTCAATGGGATCAACTTTCATCTTCGGCTCATGGATCTGCGAGGCGGACAACAATGGCAAGCTCCAAAGTCGTCTCCTCGAAGATTCAAAACACCATGAAGACTATTCTGTTCTAACAACCACGACAGATCAAATCTCCAGAAGATTCGCGCAGCTCATAGTGTCTGATTCAACTCAGGTTCCGCAGCTTTGCGCATCAGACTCGAATTCGAGATCCGCATCCGAGTTGGAGTCTTATCCGAGTCCTTTCGGGAAACCGAGTTCTTTTTCGATGGGACTCAAGAACGCGGCCCTGACCTATCAAGAATACAACTCGGAGTATGCGCAGAACCCCTTCAAGAAGTCGGATATTCCTCCACTCAGACTCCTCAACATGGCAACATCTTATCAGGCACGGCTCAGAGAAGTCCTCGATCCAGTACTAAGAATGCCACTGAAGGGAGCTCAAGAAGGCCTCGTCCTGACTGTAACATCTCAAGACTGCATCGTTCACCGGGCCGGACTCGCTCCTCGAGAGGATAACAAGACCAATCGGACAACACGACGACAACGGTTATTCTACCTTACTAAGAAGGAGACTCGATCTGCGACATCGAGGCATCTACTAAAGTCATCAACAACTCCGACAGTATGAAAACTAACGCCAATAACAGAACGGCTCACGCACGGGAAGTATTCATGGTTCGACACCCTCGGTCACCATTAAATCCCCCAGAAGCACCCGATGTCAGGTCATCAGATGAATCAGAATCCAACATATCACCCTTTGCCTGTGGATACGATGGAGAAACCGAGAGTCGAAACAAGCTAGAGAAAGAAAAAACAAGTTGAAGCAAGGGCGCCAACACCGTGCTTAGGCAAAAGTAGAGGGAAGCTGGATCGACATTTAGTCGAGTTGGGCGAATACTTGACGTAAGAAAATCACAACGAGAAGTCGAAGGAAGACGCACGGCAAATACGCCTTTACGATAAGATTCGAGAAGCATTAGAAGAACTTCGAGAGCAACTTCACACCCCGTGAGAAGTATGAACAGCTCCAGACTTGCTCCGGTTCGACGATCCCGAGAACGCATGAAGAGAGAGCCCAATCAAGACTACCCGCTAGATCAACAACCCACGTGCAAGAAGATCAAAATCAAAGGAAGTCCGCTTTCGAAAGACTTGGGCCAGATGGAAGTCATAACGGAGAAAGTAGGAAGGATCATAATCAAGGCCACCGATTTGAACAACCAAGAAAGACCAGGAGTAGGGCGCCTACCAAGACAGCCTCATAGAATTATTCCCATCAAAACAACAGTTGGCCAGAAGGAGGTGCCGAATCAGAATTCAAAGAAGCCGGAATGCACGATGATTTCCTATTTCATGAATGGCTTGCATCAATACGATTACACTCACAAGTTCAAACCATCTAACCACTATAAGTATGATGGCAAAACTGAACCAAGGCAATGGCTCGTAATATATTCACAATCAATTGAACTAGCCGAGGAGACGATTTATATCAAGACCTCGTTTCTTCCCATGGCACTCGAAGCCATGCCCCTCCAATGGTTCGACAAATTAAATCTAGGATCTATCAGAAATTGGGAGGACTTGCAAAGAGCTTTTTGTGAAAATTTCGTAGGAATCATTACACACCCAATTACTCATGCAGAACTGAAAGGACTCAAGCGTAAGAGAGGCGAAAGTCTCGTAAATTACTATCGATTTATTCGGCGAACTACGGGCTCAAGTGCATGACATCACCGAACGAGAAGTAATTGAAGCTTTCTCTCACGGAATCATGGCTAGGTGGCAATTTCAAGACTTCTGCAAAGAAAATCCGAGAAACAATGAAGAATTTAGACGAACAGTAGAAAAGATGATTACTCGTAGAAGAAAAAACACGAGAGAGGTTCCTGATAGAAGCAACCAGACAACCCGGACAAGCAAAATCATCGAAATAGCGTATATCAAGAAAGAAAACGAGACCGCATAATACCGTAGCAATGGCCGACAAATCAAAGAAGTTTTCTAAACCCGTAAGATATGATGACATTGAAAACATATGTTTCCCATTGCACCCTAATGGGAGGCACACCATCGAAATTGCTACACTTTCAATGATCGATACACAAGAAAAGATAGTAAGGAGAACACCAAAGAGGACAATCGAAAAAAGATGAAGACAACCACGAGGACAAAGGATTCCAAAACCTGTGGATCTTCTCAGGGCTCCAGGCTCCAGCGAGCGTACAAACATCAAGAAAAACTAGCACTACGGACTATCATGACAAAGAGAACCGCTACTCCAAGATATCTCAATTGGTCACAAGATCCTATCCAATTTACCAGAGAAGACCAATGGACTAGCGTGGGAAACACAGCCATTATCCACCGGTGCTAGATCCAACTATTGGCTTTGTATGACTGCCACCAAAGTACTAATCGATGGGGAGCCGGACTCAACATCATCTTTTCGTAAACACTAAGGAAGATGGGACTACAACTCACGGGATGATTACACCAACAAGTACACCTTTTCCGGCATAGTACCCGGCAAGGCAGCCATGCCACTTGGACAAATTACTTTACCCATTACTTTTGGAACTCCTTCGAACTACCGAACAGAGTTTATCAAATTTGAGGTTGCAGACTTCGATTCGTCATATCATGCAATCCTCGAACGCCCAAAGACTAGCAAAATTCATGGCAATACCACATTATCCGTACTTTCATCGCTTAAGATGCCAGACCCAACGGCGTCCTTTCTCTTCAAGTGATTTGAAGCGTGCTTTTGATCGCGACGCTCAGCAATCCAAATCGCAGCCAAAGCACAAGCCGACAATGGAAGAAAAGAAATAGCCACAATTGCTACAGAGATGAGCCAAGAAGAACTAGAAATACCGGCTAAAAAGCCCAGCATCATCGCACCACCAAAAGAAGTCGATGTCAAGCAAATCGACCTGGGCACTAGCGATGCTTCCAAGACAGCAACCATCAGTGCTCATCTCTCGGCAAAATAGAAACTCGCGCTCACCAACTTTCTTCGGGACAACAAAGATATCTTCGCTTGGAAGCCGGCCGACATGCCAGGTGTCCCAAGAGAGTTGGCTGAGCACAGAATTGATATTAATGAAAGCTCCAAGCCTGTAAAGCAACGGCTACGACGATTCTCACCTGACAAGAAGGCGGCAATTAAAAAAGAAATCACAAAGCTAATGGCGGCCGGATTCATTAGAGAAATCCTTCATCTAGATTGGCTAGCAAACCCAGTTCTAGTACAGAAAAAGAACACGGACGAATGGCGCATGTGTGTTGATTACACAGATCTCAACAAGCACTGTCCGAAAGATCCGTTCGGGCTGCCACGCATTGATCAGATAGTTGATTCAACAGCAAGATCCGCCCTATTATCCTTTCTTGATTGCTATTCAGGGTATCACCAGATAGCATTAAAAGAGCAAGACCAGAGCAAGACATCTTTCATCACCCCGTTTGGTGCCTACTGCTATAAGACCATGTCATTTGGACTCAAAAACGCTGGAGCCACCTACCAAAGAGCTATCCAAACATGCCTTGGCGATCAAATCGGTGAAAACATAGAAGCATACGTGGACGATGTAGTTGTAAAAACAAAGAACCCGGATACACTGATTGAAGACATAAGACAAACCTTCGAGAACCTGAAAAAGTGGAGATGGAAATTGAACCCGAACAAATGTGTGTTTGGGGTTCCTTCAGGACAACTACTCGGTTTCTTGGTCAGTCATCGCGGAATCGAAGCAAGCGCCAAGCAAATTAGAGCCATAACGGAGATGGGCCCACCCAGAAACATCAAAGATGTGCAAAAGCTAACGGGCTGCATGGCGGCACTCAATCGTT